GTGCCTCTGGAGCTCTCTGTGCAGGGTCAGGGTCATGGGCTGTCCCCAGGAGCAGGGCTGGGTGATGTCACTGTCATGTATTCTGAAAAATCCCTTTGCCCAGGAGTCTTCTCCTGGGATACTGAGAAGCCTCAGAGAAAAATGAAAACAATAATTATCTGATTGCTTCTCCTGTGTTTGCTGCTTTGGAATGTGGTTAGAGATTGTTTATCCAACATGTGAATTGTTTTGACTTAATGACCAATCACAGTCCAGCTGTGTCAGGACTCTGGCGAGTCATGAGTTTTTCATCAATATCTTGTTACCTTTTTGTCTGTATCCTTTCTGTATTCTTTAGCATAGTTTTAGTATAGTATAATATGATATGATATATGATATATGATATATGATATATGATATATGATATATGATGTGATGTGATGTGATGTGATGTGATGTAATATAATATAATATAATATAATATAATATAATATAATATAATATAATATAATATATAGCAATTGATCAGCCTTCTGCAATCATAGACTTGATGCTAATTATTACCCAAGTAGGGGCTTGTGGTGACATAAACCTGCCTGGTGGTTTAACAGAGTTAAACAACACCTCATTCATGCTACACCATAAAGCTGGCTTGATGTAAGCCCTCCAAAAGCATTAAGGATCAGCTGTTCCTTCTGGGGCACTTTGCTAAAATCCTCACTTGCTGTTATTTATGGTCCTGCAAAGGCTGAGAGAGCTGGAGTGGTTCAGTGCAGAGCAGAGGAGACTCTGGGGACAGCATTGAGCAGCATTGAAGAGGGCTTGTGGAAAAGAGGGAGAGCAGCTTGTTACACCAGCAGGGACAGGAAAAGTCTAAAACTAAAACATTTTTAGTTTTAAAAATAAAAAAGGGGAGATTTAGGTTAGGATTTAGGAGGAAATTCTTTACTCAGAAGGTGTTCACTGGCAGAGGATGGCTGCCCCTGGATCCCTGGCAGTGGCCAAGACCAGGCTGGACAGGGCTTGGAGCACCTGGGACAGTGGAAGGTGTCCCTGCCATGGCAGGGATGGGATGGGATGAGCATTAAGGTCCTTCCCAACCCAAACCATTCCCTGTGCTAAACCTTCCAGGAGCTCATCTTTCTGCTCTGACATCCAGCAGAATTTGGCTATTTCCACCTCCAAAAGGCAACAATCCACAGCTCTCTCCAGTGCAGCCAAGTGTCCCCAAGGAGAACATCCAGGCATGGCAGAAATGCCCCATTTTGTGCTCACCCCACCCTCACAGAGCTGCACTGATTATTTGCATGGCTCTACCTGGAAAATCCTGCAAAGCCCAGGTCTCCCCAGGGTGTTGATGTCTCTGCAAATCCAGATCCCCTCAAAAGGGTTTTGGTCACTCCCCTGCGAACCCAAATATTCCCCTGCCTTCCTGCCAGGGATCTGTGTGTCAGAGGAGCTGAAGAAAAGGATGCACTGGAGGTGTGTTATTATCTTTTCATGGGAAATTCACAGATGAAAGAAAGAAATTTAAAGTTTATGTCTCATTCTGTATTCCTTTCATTCTGGGTTTTGAGAAAGAAGAAATTATTCATGTCTCCAGTTCCTGCCCTCGCTCTCGCTTGTTTCTCTCTTTCTCTTCCTCTGTGCCAAAAATGAGAATACAAAGGGATGGATGGCAAATGTTTATAGGGAAGAGGAGATGTACTCTCTCAGGTTTTTGAGTTTTTTCAACTCTATAGCTCTAAATAATGCCTGAAATTGTGTAAAAATGGCAACTTGAAAGGGAAAAAGTGAAGTGTTGAGACATTTCAGTGCAGAGAAAAGAAAAAAAATCAATTCTTGGGCATTTCTTGCTTTAATGAATTCAGTATTTTGAAGAGGTCAAAGGAAATACAAAACAACATAAACCTATGAAACTTTTGATTGAGAGTTTGAATTAGTGGGGGTGGGGTGTGTCAAGAAATAAAATTTTTCTAATCTGTAAAATGGGGAATCGTGCATTTATTTTGCAGCATGACTTTAGATTGCTTTTCAATTATTCAAAATAAGATATTTAGCTGCTTTTTTCCTCTTCATATTCGGAGCCCAAACCTGGTGTAGATTTTGTGAATGTTCCCAATGGAATTATTGAGTGCTGAGAGAGGCTCTGAGTGCCCCTGGTGTTTTGGCAGAAATACCCTCAAAAATTTAGGGTTTTTTTTTGTGGCTGGCTTTTATTTCCCTGTGATTTCAAT